TAGAGTCATAAATTTACCTTGATTTTTTTGAAGGGAGACAGAGAGTATGGGGTTTTGCTTGAGACTTTCTTCAGTTTTATTAAAAACATTTAGGATTTCTTACTAGTGTAAGAAATTAATGTGCTTGGTGATTTGCTTCAATGAAATTTCTGTAGAGGGCAACAAACTAAACCCTGCTAGTTTTGTGGGGTACTAAAAATATGATCACCTTGAGATGGCTCACCATTCAAAGTCCTCAGAGAAATCTGCTGTTAGTTGCTGCTCAGTCACAACTGGTTTTGTTCAGAAACATCATATGCCCTGTCATCTGGTAGCTCATATTGTGCCGGGTGCAGGACTACAAAGTAAACTACAGTGATGTTTTCAATATCTAGCTGCTTATATCAATCACAGTGTTATAATTAATTAATACAGATTACAGAAAGTTGGGGGCTTAGTATTTTCATTAAAACTATTTTTTCATTTTTTATATCATAAAAACAAAGTTTTTCTTTGCAATTTACTGTTTTCCTCCCTTTACCTAAAAGAATCAAGTTTTTGTATCTTCATATTACTGAGACATTCACTGTCATGAAACCAGCTCTCTGGAACTGCAAAGGGCCCCCTGACAGGGAGTACAGGCGATGAGTCAGTTCTCCACCAAAACAGAGATTTAAGGAGTGTGGTTAAGTGGATCTCTCTTGAGTTCAGTGAGGATGAAAACAGACCCAGAAGTAAAAGTCTACGTACATCTTTCACTGCATGGACAGCATCCAGACCATTACGTGCATGGATTCAGTTATAAATTGAACCCTCAATATAAATAAAGCTGGGGTGGGGGGGTTTCCTTACTTTTTCCTGTAAATATAAAGATCTCTCTTCACTGCATTAGGAAGTCTGGGGAGAACTCTAATAGAATATTTGTAGAGGGGATTCTGTGGACTTCAATAGAAGCATTGGTGTATTTTTAATGCGGTGTACTGAGTTAAAATAAGCTTAAATTTTTCTCTTCTAAACTCCTTTATCAGGGCAATTTTGTTTCAACTCTTGACTGTAAGCTGGAGGAAGGCAGGGAAAAAATAAGCCATTGTAACTCCTGACAGTTCTTTTAGTATTTATGGACATCTGTGTGAGTTGTCGGCTTGAGCATTTCTCTGTCTGCTTGAGTTAGGAATCAGCAGAAGATCTGTATTAATGGCATGCTCTTAGGAGCTGGAATTAATTTTATTTTGGATAAGATGGGATAGGTATTATGCAGCTGTACTTCTGTGAATGGTCTGAAATTATAGTGGTACTCATTTTCTTACCACCTGTTGATGCAGTGGTTCCTGACACCTTTCCTCCCCTGCATTTTATCTCCATGGGTCACCGCAGTTCATTGCTGGTCTCTGAAACAAATGATGTGTAAAAGAAGGCAGCTCACTCATCAGTGGCAGAGGTCTAAAATTTTAGTGCATTCTGTAGTTTCTAGGAGCTGGATGCTGTCTATGGAAAACATGAGGTTGCATCCTTGCATCATACATAAGCACCTCTCTTGCGGGGGCTGAGCCCAGGTGCAGAACTGGAGACTGATAATGGGGTCCACCAACAGCCCCCGACATGTTGAACCTCAGCCAGGGGCCATCCAGGGGGCCCAACCAGGAGCAGAAGGGGATGAGACATAGCTGCATTTTCTTGAGCCTGTTTCTGTTTCTCCATCCGTAAAAGGAGGATGACATGTCTCACTGGGAAGTCACAGGGCTTAGTTGCTCACTGAAACTTTGCATAATGCAAATGCTTTCTAAGCATTGTTAATTAATCATTACATTATTTGTTGCTGAAGGAATGTAAAACGTCTTGAAGGAAATCTTGGCCCTATTGAGAGAGCAGGAAAATCTCCTTTGCTTTTCCTAGAACAGAGATTTCAACTCTCATATCAACTGCATTTATCAACAGGCAATCTCTTTATGCTCTTGTCCTTGATTACGTGTCCTTGGAAGATGCTGCATCAGTAAGTTTTTAGGCACATTAAATTTATGCATTAAAGCATTTTTCAAAATTCAATGATTGCATCACTTTCAAAACCAAAGGAAAACCCTAACAAATACGACACCCAGCTGTGCACACATTTCTTCTCAGAGATAGAGGGTGAGCAAATAAGTGGTGTATTTCACTTGCACTGCTGAGAGCACAGTTGGAAGGTGCTCAGAGATCATTATGAGGATCTCAAGAGAACAACCTAATAGAACAGAAAAGTGATGCACTAAAGAGCATTAGAGAGATTCCTACTGACCACAGCAGACTTCAGATCAGGCAAACACAGTCTGTGTCCTATACAGAGACTTAAAGGCAATGCTGGCAAACACATCATCTGAATCTGGACATATCCATATGGGCCTAGGTCAGTATTTTATGAGTCTTCCTGACTGTATCTGTACAAAAAGTTAAGCTTGTATGCCTTTAAAATAGCAACACTATGTACATTTATAGTTTCTGATTGCTTGGTTATTTTGAGTACTCTTCTTAGGTAGCATATTTATTACTGGCATATGTTCTCTAGCTTTCCACAAAAGAGTATAAAGCAAGAACTGGATTGCAACATAAGGTTATACATAATGTTAACAATTGGTAGGATTTACAGAATGTAACTTTGAATCTTCGCAGTCATCTGAGCTGTCTTCAAAGCCAAGACAAGACCATCTATGACTACACATTCCCAACACAAAGCTATTTAACTGTTCTGTGAAAAAATGCAGTAGTGACGATCTCTAACCCACTTCAGACAATCTCTTCTGCTATCTGATGGGTCTTATTATTCAGCAAGGTACCTAACCTAAATTTCCTTCTGCTGTAATTTAAATCTGTTCGTTTACTCATCTCCCAGCAGATCTGGAGAAAAGTCTGTTGCCTCCTTTTCCTCACCTTTCTGCACATGTAGACTAAGAGTATCTCTCTCCACCTTCTCCTCACTGAGCAACTCTATTATTTTTCCCCTGTCAGTCACACTTCCCACATGTCTGATCACCCTCTGTTCTGTTGCAGGATCATCTCCAGGGTTTTTCTTGGTGCATTTTAGAAGGACTTTGAACTGGACCCTTTCTGCAGAGGCCCTGTGGAGGGCAAGTGGGAGAATGACTTGTGTGTCTAGTACTCAGGTTTCTGCAGTACTGCCCACCACCATGTAGCTGCAAAGATGAGCTCATGGGGTGGCACTGAGTTACATTCAGTTTATTCACTGTCATACCCAGACTCCTTTCTGAGGAACTGTTACCTACTCAGTTATTTCTGTCACAAATATGATGCTCTATGCTTATATGTACTGAATTGTGCTCAATTGTCTGAATTCTGCCATAGTCGGTCAAAATCTTTTTAATCTTGTCTCCTAAAGTGCTTACAGCTTGGCATTGTCTGCAAATTAAAGAAAGATACAAGTTATGAGTGCAGAATCTTTCAGTGATGCTGGAAAACCCTCATCAATGTATCTTCTGTGCTGGCTGTGAATCCTTGACAACTATTCTTTAATTACAGCTATAGCTGTTTGTGCACTCACCTTCCTCTACTTTCAACCAAACGAGGTTTTCCTAGCTCCTTTATGAGAACCTCATAATGTCAAAAGGCTTGCTGAGATGCAAAGAGATTATATCAACAGCTTTTTCCCTGTCCACAAGGCCTCTGAGGCTGTCAGAGAAGGAAAATACGATTAATTAATTGTGGTTTTTCCTTCACAAGCCCATGGTGATTGTTGGTAATGATCATACAAATTTGAAGTGCTAATGGGAAGAATGCTTGATTATCTGTTCTTGGGTTTATTCTATTCTTAAATCTCACAATCTAGCTAGAAATTCTTTATATGGTCTTCCTCCTCTGTAAAGGAATAAACTGTGCTTGCTTTTTCCCCATCTTGTGAACTCAAATCTATTCTCAACAGTTTTTCAAAGATCATTGCTAGAGATCTGGTATCAGCTAAACTTGATGGAATTTGCCTATCAAAAAGCATTTATCTTACTCAAGAAATTCTCTAGCTTGTTCGTGTGTTATTATAGCCTGTGTTGCTACACCTTTTTGTTGCCGTTAGTAACCCACGATCAGACCGGGATGACTTTGAAGTGAGAACCAAAGCAATAAAAATCCATCTTTCCCAGCATACTCTATTAGCAGCTTTCTTTTCTCCATTTCCCTGTTCATCAGTTATCTTCCTATTTCTGTAGAATAATCTTTTAGGCAGGCTGTGTTGCACACTGAGCAATCTTCTTTTCTGCAATTAGCTCTCCACTTCAAAGTGATATAAGCATTTTGTTCGGATTTCTTTTGAAATACAGATCTTGGCTAGCTCTGCATTCCTCTCATAGCTGATGCTTGATGATCCGCTTCTACTGAATCACTCAATAGTATATTCTTACATTTAAGTAACTTATTGCATTTCATAGCCAAAGCCTTACTGTATGTGAATGTCTCTGTGCTGTATGACACAGGAACATGCACATCAGACACTGGGCTCACATTGTCACCTACTCCCATCCCTACAGCCCCCCTGATTTAGCAGCTCATGTGACTCAGATCATTACTCACGTCCTTTTTTAAAATTCAGCTTCTTCCAGCTAATCAGCTCCTCTTGGATCATCTAGCAATTTCACAGGGATTGTCACCAGTTCCAGCTCTGCCATGCTAATAATCTTTGACTACAATACTCATTTGTAATAATCTCAAAATTATAATTTTTAATTTATTTTAGTTTTTGCAACATGTGCTAACATGTTTTTTAATCTGAAAGAGAAATGGTAACTTGTTTGACAGCATGGGACTGAATCACAACGAAAAGGGATAATCCATGTTTCATTTCCTGCTACCACTTGGGGAAGAAATAAGTCCTGTTTACACAGACTCAGAGAAACTAATTGCAGTGTTAGCTAAATACTACAGCTGTACAGTTAGAAAACAGCCTCTGCCATAGTTGGCATGGACTGTGGTGGGTATATCCTACCCAGAGGTTTTTCATGGATTACTTTCACATCCTGACACTTTTCCGGTTTTCTTCTCTGTAGATTATCAATTCAGTGGTATTGCTGATTCTGCTGAGTGCCCTGACCGATCCTGACCAGTACCACCTAACCAGTGCTGAATTAGGGGGCGAATTTGAATTTATGGATGATGCCAGTAAGTACAAACCATCTAAATAACTAACACTCATTACTCCAGCTTTTATGTAACTGTCCCATCGTTTCAGTAATTTTTATCCTTTAATTATTGCTTCACCTTAGTATCTTACAGGTGTGTTTTTATTGTGAAAGGTATATTCATGGCACAGTTCAAACTGGTTACCTGTTAGTAACCTTATCTGTTACCTATTAGTAATCCATCTGCTCTGCTGTGTCCTGACTTGGCAGGGCAGAGCCAACCCTTGACATGGAGCTGTTGTCTCTGAGCGTGATGCTGAAAGGTCCAGGGGTATTTTGCAAGACACAGGGAGATAAGGAGTCTCTGCATCTCCCAGCACCATGTCCCATAGTGCCTACACATGCATAAGAACCCATACTGTGATCTATGCAACTGACTGAATGTGTCCATTCATGTTGTACGTACTTACACACCCGCCATGTGCACATGGCATGACTTGCATAAACCTGTTGTTACAGATGCAAGTATAAATATTAACTGTATAGTCACAGGCATATTAGCAGTAACATGGGGCTGCTTCCTTCTCTCCCCAGATGACATAATAGAAAATCTTCCAATACCGTTTCAGGGAAGGGTGAGCCAGGCCATTTTTGTCTCCTGCAAAAACCTCCTGTCCTTTGCAAATGTTTCTTTCGTCCATGACTGTTTCAAATTATTAGATGATGTTTGGTTTGTTGGTTTGCTTTCACTGTTTAATTTGTATCTAGAAAGGTTTCCTCTCAATGTGATTTTGATAAAAATGTCTGTTTATTTTCATTTCTGCTCACAAGTTTGTTAGGTTCAGCATTCCTCAGAGTAATCTGAAACAAGGTCTCCTGCTAGTTGCACTGGTGTCTCGCTGCTCGGAGTCACACTCATCCACAGCAAAAGGCTCAAAGTCCTTTCTCATTCCCACCGAAGTCAATAAAAATATCAGTAGGAAAACTAATATCCCCACACGTGAGAAAAATAATTGCACCTATGGTGTGTCAGAGCTGCTGGGTATCAGTTAAGTGTTGCTTATTTCCATAAGGCCTTAGTGCAGATATGACTTCAGGGTCTACATTTTATTAATAGTAAGGGCAATTGCTACTTTATTGTGTCTTCATTGAAAAAACACCTACAACTTCCAACTAAAAATCTTTTTATATAACTGGATTTAAGAAAGTAAGGACCACAGTAGATACAGATGGGCTCCTAGCTGATTCTGACATATTAAAACTGACTGCCTTGTCCTAATTCTCAGAGATTAACCTTGGTAATGACTGTCTGTCAGTGTGGTTTTATATAGCCGACATTAGAGGCCTGCCAGTGCCCAAGGCTTTAAAATAGTAATTCTGTTTTGTAATGCGATAGCTGTCAGATCAAGTACATTGGGGATTTCTATCTACACTTGAAAATTGTATTTTCTATATTTTTTTTATCGAGTGAACCCTGCAAGACTGTAAAAGGATGGTTTGTGGGCCAAGCAACCTCATTTCCGTTCAGTAAAGGGAACATTTCATAGGCAGTTAAATTACAAATGAACATTTGAATTAATGTCTCCTTTTATTCTCTGACTTCCTCCAATTTAATGCCTTACTGAGTAAAGGCAGCTGAATCAAGCTACTAGCTTTTATATTTACTGGAAATAGTTGTCAGAAGACAATTTTTTTTCTTTTTTTCTTTAAGTATGGCTATATTTGTTCAAATCTGAGGAAATATTTTCTTAGATGAAACATCAGACAAATTTCCACATGCTCTTCTCTTGTCCTACTTTTATTTGTCTCTTTTGAAGCAGTGTTTCCTAGGTTAGCTGGAAGGTCCCAAAGTTGTTATCTATATGTACTTGTGTTGACAAATAATAATGATGGAAAGACTTGTAGCTGTTATTCTCATTACTACTTTTGATGCTCCTATCAATATCAAACAAAAAAAAAATGCTGACACCGAGTTTGCATGTAAAATTGTCGTTCTCCTTCCCTCCCTCCTCAAATAGGCTCCTTCATAAAGGATCTGAAAATATCAGCTGGAAATAAGCTTATCAGCTGAGTCACAGTAGTGGAATTATGGCTAACCTGAAGTTAATGACAGATTTCCCTTGACTTCCAAGAAACCAGGATTCCCCTAATATTTTTATTCATATTTATTTCTGGCTGTGCTCAGGCTTGGTTTATGGAGAATTTTCAATTTTCTGTTCCAGTAGTGGGAAAAATTCCTGCCACATGCAGAGCCAGAGCCAGTCTAGTGCAAAGTGCTTGAAAAATGACAGTGCTGCATCAGTTCTTCTGTGAATGGCTGCTCAGCCTTAATTTCAGGATTTAGTGTGGTTCCCAGGCTGTTACCAGAGGCTCCAAAATTCCTGTTTGAGGGAAAGGATTTACCTGAGCACTTAGAAAAAGCTGTAGGTTATAGCTTTTCCCTTCTAGTCTAGGAAAGGAAACAAGGGGGAAAGAAATCTGCCAAGACTTGCCATGCAGCAGATGGAGGTATTGGAAGACACCCCCGTGTGTGGTTTGGCTGGCTCTCCGAGAAGTACGTCTGGTAGCTGGGGAAAACACTGGGCTCCTCCTGTGCTGGATATTCAGCTGAGCCCATTTAGTCTCATCTTTCTTTTTATTATTTCCTTAGGGCCTAAGGGAGCTTATGAACTAGAAGCTGGACTAGGAAAAATAAGAAATGCGTGAGCTGCCCAGTGTAATACTGCTGCTGTTAAAAGACTAATAATCTCTGGGCAGGAAATGGAAAAGCCCTCTAAATTATTTTGAATTCCCAGGGGGTTTCAACTGAGCCTCCTGTTCATCTTCTCCAGATACACAGACCATGATCTTGACATGTCAACAGCCTAAACAAGCAGTGAGCGTTGCTTGGTGTTATTACTGCCTTCACAGTGTCCCAGATATGTGTGATACTTCATAATCAGTATGACAACAAGGACTGAAATCCTTTGTGTGCCCTACAGAAACTGAGAGGAACTTTGACACCTCTGTCAGCCACTCAGGCCAAAATCTGCCTGTGTCCCTTCTGTGGGACATGCAGATGGGACAAGCAGAGGTCTGAGAGCAGGGCAGGGCAATGTGATGGTCTCTCTGCCAAACGTGATGTGGATTCAGGCCTTAAAAGTATTAATTCAAATAGAAAAATTTTAATAAATAAACCTACAGACAGCAGACCTGGACTTCTGTTAGATGGTAGATGGAAGTGGTAAAGTAGGTGCCCTTCCTGCCCCAGTCCATCAATACCACCCATGTAGCATGAGCCCCATGTCACAGGAAGGGTGAAAAAAACTAGATCCCTGCTCCAGCATAGCATACTCAGGGCCGCATCTTCCCCTTTAGCCTTATCCTCTGGAGTCAGTGAGCTGGGCTTAAAGGTGCAGAAAACTCTTTCCTTCTCATTGGCCTCCTTCCTTTGCCAGAGAGAAAATGCCACCGCCACACAGGTTGTGACCTGGGAGGCTGCATGGTGGCTGCCAGCAACGGCACTGAGCTTGCACAAGCAGCTTGGAGGAGAGAGCGAGGCAGTAATCCTTAGCTGGCAGTAAGGAGGCCAAGCTGCTGGATAAATAAGGCTACGAGGGTGGGCAAAACTGCCTGAGGATTGCAGGCTGCTGATCAGCAGCTTTCTGGCCCCTGCGGTCAGAGCTGTGAGCCAGCGATTAACTCCAGGGCTGGGGCAGGTGATGAGCTGGAGGATTTGAGGTCTTCATCACTCCACACAGGTCCTGGCTCAAGGACTGGTCTTCCTGGCTGCTCCTCGCTGTCCCTGCAGCACCCACCACCGGCCTGCTCTGCAAGGGGAGAGAGGAAGGCGAGGAAATGCTTGTGAGATGGCATCGAGGGAGCTCTAGCTGCAGAACTTGCCATGCATGCAAGCACCCCATGGCAGGAGCTCTGCCTAGCTCCAGTAGCATCTTATCCCCAATGTGGCAGGAAGGCAGGATCTCACTGCAAGGTATAAAAGGCAAAAAACCCAAGTGGGTTCTTTAAACCCAAGCAGAAAACTCAAGAAGCCATCTAGGACAATAGGCTGTATAACCACTGCAGTGGTCCAAGCACAGCCCTTCTAGCCATGATTGCCACGGAAAGTACGGCATGACTGGAAAAGAATTCACACACTCCTGTTAGCTTCTCACTTAATGTGCTACATACCTAGTTTCATTCTGATTAATTGAAGCCAACACAGCTCAAAAAAAACAGTGGAGCCTTAAATGAGAAAGAACCAGCTTGAGCCAACTAGGATTTGGCACAGTGGAGCACAGCTAGGGAGGCACCGGAGATGGGGAGCATGAGTGTGTCAGACTGGAGCTTCAGTGTCAAGTTTATTGCAGTTTGCCAGGCTCTGGCTCTGAACCAGTACTTCTGTGGCCACCAGCAAAGCGAGGCCTGTGACTGCTGCATCTGCTGCAAGTGACAATGACAGCAGCTTCCTCTTGGATGCAGTGAGTAGGTGACTGGGATTAAGAATGGGCAGAAAAAATACATGAGCAGTACCTTCAAATTGACAGTTAAAATAAAAATATTGATCCAAGAGCCTCTGTTAGCAGAGGTTCAGTTGAGGTTAGTGGCCACAGGCAGCCATTTCCACTTCTTTTCTTTCATTACCTCGATTGTACCTGGTCTATTAAAAATCATTTTGATTTCACAGGATGTGTGTGGGCAGCCAGAGTAAATAACTACACAGTTAAGAGTGTCTGAAGAGGCTGCAGTACCTTTTATTAGTAGAGGTTTGTTTTGTGAGTGCTTCTTCCTCTTGAAGGCAGAATTCAGATCAGCTCTAACAGCACAGCCTTACAGCTCCTAAAAAGCTGGAGACTGGTCATGGCAATGCAGCTCACGTCTGCACTGGATGTCTGGATTCTCTACACAGTTAAAGAGCAGAAGGAGGTGCCTCTGAAGAGCAATTTTGGGATGAAGAGCAATTTGGGAGGCACTGAGATGTCATCCCCTCCTGGATTATGAGCTGGGAGCCCAGCTGCCTCCTGATGGCATTTCCAAGCACCCACAAGCTGAGTTGCATAAAGCCACCAGGTAGGAAGCGGTGAGCACAGGGGTGCAGCTAACCTCAGCACTCTCCTGGTGCCTCTCCTGGGTGAGACCTGCTTATTTTGTCACTAAGACAAAGATTCAAGCATTTGCACTATGAGTAATGTGCTCCTCCAAGTGCCCAGGAAAGGGGCCCCATCCATTGAATTAGAAGTAACCTGCAACAGGGCTTCTTCTGCAGCATTTGAGTCCCTGTGCAGTCACAAGGACAAAATTTGGGGGCAAGAGAGAGAGAGGGAGCAAGAGTCCTGAAACCCATGACACAGGCAAGAAAAGGGGAGACCTAGGTTCCTACATCCTTAATCCTGCTGTTGGTAGGCACAGTACCCAAGGAACCTGTTGCCCAAAGTATATAAGCAGCCTGTGGAGACAGCCTCACTAGCCAGCAACAGTCTCCTTTTGCTCATTTTTCCAACAGCTTCACAAGTCTCAGGTTTCTCTCTGCATCAAGGGCCAGCAGAAGTCTGGATTAGTGCTGGCAGGAGCTCTGTGCTAGTGCAAGGTTTGTGTTCCGTCAGGCGGAGGAGGATCAAGGACTGGGTCATTTGTCTTCTCCATGGATGATCATACTGGTAGGCTGGGAAAAATCATAGAAAAGACATAGTGTCTGTCCTTCCTTTTCAGCCATGATCCAGGTGAACCTGCACTGCTGCCCGGTGGTAGTAGGTGAGACCTGCCCACAGCTGCCAGATCAGGACCTTTCGACTTGAAGGCTCCTACCCAGAACCTCATTTTGATACAGCCAGGGAGGTGAAGGGACTGTCCCATGCTGTGGGTTGCTCCTCATCATATGCTGGAGTTAGAAGTTATGTCAACTCTGTGATCAGATGGAGGCACCTTCACACTTTCCCCCCAAAGTCAGTCAGTGATGGGTAGTGAGCAGCCTGAACACTGTCACGTGTTTGGGTGTCTCATGTCCACCAAATGTCTCATCAAGGCAGGTAGTTTAAATGCACCTGGTGACATCAGTGTGAACAGCACGTACCTCAGAGATCCCGACTAGAGGTGGGATCTCTAAAGTCATGTCATATACCATGCTTCCTCTCTCCTCGTTGTGCACCGTTTTAGCCTTGGAAAAGTAGTTGAAATGTTCAGTTGCACTCCCAAACTTACTGTAAGGTCAGGTTCAGAAATACACTTCTGGTATCCTGACTATGGCCTGTAGTGATATCAAGGGAGGTGTGTACAGAAAGACCAAACATAGTGTAATTTTTTCCCCCAGGATCTTCTTCCAGCTCTTCATGGCTTAGGAATGTCTTAAATCTAATGAAAAGTTAATTGAAAGCTGAGCAGCAATAGAAGAAAAAGACAGGAGTCCTGTAATTACTCCAATCAAAACCTTAAAGAATATTTTCCTTCCTTTACTACTTCACCTTTCCTGACAGTTATACATCTTCATTAATAAACTGTATATCTCTGTAGTATTCTTGGTTGAAATGAAAATTTCCAAGATGTTATTTCTGCTCTAAGATGCCTCTACCTGCCAGTTTTGCTTTTAAAAATGAATTTGTCCTTTTGCAGAGTTTTCAGAGGTATGTAAACAATGGTATACAGCAGCTGTTAATGCAAAAACAATCTGTAGTGCAGAAAACAGATGCTTTCTGACTACAGATGTCATCATCGCTGGGAAAATAGTCTTCTTGTCAAGACTGCTTCTGATTTTTGAAAATCCTCAGAAAAATTAAACCATTCATGGCATCTCCACAGCCTCATAGAGGCTGCAGAGCCTTGCACACTGTAGTCACTGTCTGTGCTTCTCATATTTGGGTGGTTTCCCACAAAAGCCAGATAGTTCCTCCAGCAACTGGCTGAATGATGAACATGACCCCATCTCCACCCACTTCCCACCTTGCCCTTTGAGGTGCTCTGCACAAGGTAGATGGCAAAATAACTGAAGCAAGCTCTGAATTTATCTGCAATCATTTTGATGTGTTTCTTTTCCAGATATGTGCATTGCCACAGCAATTTCTCTTCTTATGATTTTGATCTGTGCAATGGCTACATATGGTGCATATAAGGTAATTCATTATATATTCGGTGAAGACGTAAATGAAGTGAACTATACAACTTGGTAGAAGCAAAATTAAGAAAATTGCTTTCTAACAATTCCATATTTAGTTGTTCAGCTGAAAACGGGGTGGGGGGAGGGGGGGTGGGAGGAGGAATTCAAAAAGGCAGAACCTATTGCTTAGATTGGTGGTATTCCGGGGCCCTGTGCTGCAGGCAGTAACACTGACCTGTCCTCAGTTTCAAATACAAAAGACTGACTGCAGTTTCAAATATGAGTAACCAAACGGTGAATTGAGAACTAAATTTTGTACCTACCAAAGTTTTTCCCATTCACCTCCCAAGCCTGTGGTTTGTCCCAGTATTTATCCTATTAATTAGGAGGAAAAAGTATCATGTGGTTTCCAAATGTTCTAGTATAATGAGTTATGGGACTTACACCACAAATATTACTGCAGTTCAGCAGCCAAACTGCCTTGGCCAACCCTTTTGGCTGAATGTCATATTTCTTTTAGCTGATTTAACACTGCATTGTATCAAATATTCCTTAGGTTTTAGTGCAGAAAGACATACACCCTTCTATTTTAGCTTGTGGCTGATGAGTTTTTATTTTATTTCCTTTTTAGCAACGTGCAGCTTGGATCATCCCTTTCTTCTGTTACCAGATCTTTGACTTTGCTCTCAACACATTGGTTGCCATCAGTGTACTCGTCTATCCTGGCACAATTCAGGACTACCTCCGCCAACTGGTAAATCACTTGATGTTCACAAGCCTTTGGGTGCTTTGAGGGGGGAAAAACTCTGCAAGGTGCACTGTTTGTCTTGTGTTTCTAACCAAAGGTTTCCTGTTGACTTCCTATGCACTCCTTGAAAAGTCCTCTCAGTCCTTAGTAGTCTGTATTCAACATCTTTGCAAGGTTACATTACTAACTTATTACAATATTTGTGCAGAGCTCAGGAGTTTTGCAATTTCGTGGAAGCTCTCGGCACCAGTTCATTTAGAATGAGACTCATATTGCAAGACATAGATAATAAGTAATTGCTTTTGGATTCAGAGTTATTGTGTTCATATCCAGTGGCTTATTTTTGGTGCTATTTCAAGGCTGTTTTGTCACTCTTTTTAATTTATTTGGTGGCTTTAACACAGATTTCATTAGGAGGGAGTTTGATTCAATGTAGGCTTGTTTTTGCTAGAAAATATTTTTGGATTCTGTCTTAGGGACAATTAGAGGCTCCCTTCTTGCTGTGGTCTACTTTGGCCAAACATCCATAGCCAGTATTGCGTAAGCTTACAAGATATGATTGCAACCACCTAAAGTAAAGACAAGAACCCACCAACCTCTATCTTCTCGTCACAGGACCACGTGCCGTGTCCAGCAGGGTTCAGGTGAAGTTGCAGCGCCCTGGAGAAGCCAACACTGCAGCTGTCTCTGAAATCTGCCTTGAGAACCTGAATATAGATTAGCTTTGCTGTGAACTTGGTTATGTGGATGGAAAACTAGCTAGGGCAGTATAAATAACAGGTAATGAGAAACAGCAGGCAGATAAGTAGCCACGCAAATCTGCAGGAAGAGGCGATGTGTCAAGCCAGCAGGAGCTGGGATGCATCAGAGGCCTGTTATCCTTCACCTTATTTAACACCCGTCTGCATTCACAGCTGATGTTACACTGGAGAAGCAGAGGAATAATTCAAAAGGTTCTCAGAGATACGAACAGAAAAGAGCAAATTACAGCCACAGCTTGGCAAGTGCTCGGAGCTGGCACTGCCACTGGCTGGAGCCCTCCTGCCCATCCTTCACCTGCAGTCCCTCACTTCTGCATCGGTGCCAGCCCTGCTCTTAAGGCAGCACAAGTGTCTGTGTGGCTGCAGGAACCCCTGCTTCACAGAGCATGAGTCAGAGCAAGGTTTTAGTCCAGTAAAACCAAGTCTTGGTCACTGTGTGAGAACGTGAGAGGGACAGGAGCAGGCTGGGAGCTGTGCACCAAAAGGCCCCTGCTCTTCTACTGAAAGCTGGTACCACATCTGGAGCTGGCCCACTAGAAGGGAAATGCAGCTGATTCTCTCAAAATGTTTGCTAAAGCATCGCTTTTGTTCCTGCAGATAAAAAAACAATAGGCCCTTCCATAGCAGAAATGCAAGGAGCAGGCCTTGGAAGGTACTTGGAACGGTGCAGCCCAGCACTTTGTGAGCTGTGTTGCAGCTCTGGAGCGTTAAAATTTCTGTTTGCACACATCTTTGTCTTGTAAATGTTGTGAATCATTTTCCAGATTGGTAATGAAATGCTGCAGGACTTCAGGAGTGCTAAACTGGCAGTGCTCAAAAGGGCAAGGGGGATTTCCAGGATAATTATGGCTGATTAGCCTGACATTGCTACCAAGCAGAATAATAACAGAAGGGCTGAGAGGAGAGTCAATTGGTAAAGAATTAGACCAGAGGAATATGATTAATGACTGCCAGCACAGTTTCATGGAAAATCAGTCCTGCAGACAAACTAATTTCTTTCACTGACAAGATTACTGGCTTGGTCAATAAAGATGGACAGGGGCATAATAGACTTTCATGAGACATTTGACTTCACAGCATGATGCTCAAAGCAACAACAACGCTCTAGATGGATAAAGGATGTATCAAATGGATTAGGAGAGGTTAGCTGGCAGACTGCAAAGGGTCATGGTCCATCTGTCCATCTGCCAATGAGTTTCTATTTTGGGTAAGAGGAAGGTCTCCAGGAATCAGCAGTAGATTTCATGCTCTTCCTGACTTCCATTAATAACCTTGGTACGCAAGAGGCCATTCACAAAGGCTAATGTCAGCCTTGGGAGAGCTTCCCCAGGCTCACCATCTAGAGGGATCGAGTCCTGTCTCTTCCTGACTTCCATTAATAACCTTGGTACCCAAGAGGCCATTCACAAAGGCTAATGTTAGCCTTGGGAGAGCTTCCCCATCTAGAGGGATCAAGTCCTGCGCAGGAGGTTGTCAGCAGGTGCCTAATCTAGCTCTTCTGTGTCATCCTCTGAAAGACCCTATCCCTGCACTGCCCAAAGTGAGAACATCTCTGCGTTTCCCAGAGGCAGTACATCTAACTTTTCCCAGCAAAATCACTTCTAGTAAAACCCGTGGCTGACACAGAGATTAATGAAGTAAATAACACTAAGGCCAGAGCCATTATTCGGAGTGAGCTAGACTGACTGAGAACCTGAGTTCAGTCACTAATGTGTGCTACATGAATGCAAAGAAATGTAACAAAATGAGGAATGCAGATGAGCGTACAGTATGGCAACTGTACCTGGGATGCAGTGACCCTGTAAGTGATCCAGGGAGCTAAGTGCCAAAACAAGAGTCCCCAGGTTTTTTTGCTGTTTGCAAAAACTGCTCATGGGGTTTGTAGACAGAAAAAATCAACAATGAATAGTCACGGAGAGGACACTTCCCTTCTCAGTTGGTGACGTAGGTTTCATCTGTCTATTTATGGTGTCTGGTTGTAAAGAACAATTCTTAAAAGTCAGAAAACATGCAGAAAAGTTCCTCCAAAAACTATATAAAAGCTGGATACATTGTAGTATGAGGAGAGACAATCAGCTTTTCCTGCTTCACCAAGAGGTGATATTAAGAGTTTCATATGCAGAATAATGAGGTATCAAAAGGCTGTTTAAATTAGATAAGAGGAATAATGATAATGAGTAGCTAAAAGCTAGTCCAAGTTAAGTTCATTTAGAAACAAGGAGTCATTTCTGTTTTATCATTCACAGTAGATATTAGTGATTGGCAAAAGCTTCCAAGATCTGTGGTGGATTTTGTACAGCTAATGTAATCTGTTCAACAAAGTTTTGAAGCTGTTTTGAAGCTCTTCTTCATCTATTCTGAAGCTCCTGTGTCTCAGCTGTGGTCTGTAGCACAAGTGGCTTAGCAGGAACCCCTCAGACCTTTGCCTGGAAGGGCCACATCAGCTAGCAAAAGGTTGCTGCATTTGGTTCAGAGCAAATACACTCTGAGGGGGCAAAAGCAAAGGGGAGAGGAAAAGATCACATCCACAGGTATCAGATACTCAGATGCACAATGAGATGAAACTAAAACCAAGCTCTTCAATTTTTTAGTGCTAATGCCATCAATGCAGTGCTAGCGCTTAAACAGTTAAACAGGCTTGTACCTATGGACTTGTTTCCCTGCCTCATGGTAGACAGGTTTGTCACCTCAAACACCGTGTTTAGAACAAGGCTGCAGTTAATACCCTTGTCCCTGTAGGTGAGACCCGAGTCATGCCAGTTGAGTGTGATCCCTCCTGATGATTTATAAATAAGTCCTAGAGTCATCTCGCCCTCACTCCCTTTGCAGAGGTCTGGCAAGGCAGGCAGAAAGCAAGGGTTGTGTTTCTTGCTGGCATTCTTACAGTTTTTGTTCCTCTAAAACTGCTTTGAATTTAAGGAATGATATTTTAGGGAGCACAGCTCCATAATGGAAATGAAAAATCCAAATCGTTCTGTACATCCATTATTGAATATCTGGAAGAAGGTATGCATTAGGTAATGGAATATATTTGGCAGTCTCAGAAGAACATCTTTTTCTTGCTCTAAGGTGAAAACCCCGTGTTTTTAACCATTTCTTCTTCCCTACTCTATTATATGGAATTACGTTATTTATTCACTTTGGTGCACATCTGCCAGATTTCAGTCTATCAGTGCAAACCAGTGAAATCCTCCGTGTACTTTTAGCAAGATGATAAATGAGTACCCATCACTGGGCTAGGCAGAGGCCTAGCTGAAAATGTTGCAATTGTAAAATACAGAACATTGTGTTCACAGGGTATTTGGTAATGTCAGCCTATACTGGCTGCTTCTTTCAGAGGCACAAGCATCTTTGGAAACTTTTTGTTGCCTTTTAATACCCAGTTGCACAGAAATGTGCCACTTAATTCCCATAAATTGCAAGAGCATTTCTGCGTGAAGGGTCATGTATAATAAGTAGATGTTACAAATCTAGCATTTGAAATGTTGTGTGGTGATCACATATGATTTTAAGGGTTGTGTTGGACATCTTGGTCGTTATCACTGTCACTAGAAAAACAAAAAACTTCACATACAGTAAATGCTGCGTGTGTAAAATAATAAAAAAGAAAGTTTTGGTTCTTGGAGCAGTGGTGATCTAAAGCAGTTTGACTTAAAGCACATTTCTTTTCTTTACCTTACTAAATCTTTCATATCTGGGCTTTCTAAAGCCTTCAAATTAAACATCTTCTGTCACCTGATAACATTATACAAAATGAATTGAAGCTGCGGTGCAGAACTGTCTGCAGGCTACTCTGCAACTGAGTTATGCAAACTTGTTTTTCATTAAAGTACAGAACTATTTCAGTTCATCTAAAGGAAATTTCAAAGTATATTAAATAGCTTTACTATGGGACTATCTGAAATGCTGCTTTCTAGCAATTTAGGTGATATCAGTCATGCTTTTAAATCCTAGGGGAAATGTCTAGAAAAGATAAAAAGAGGTTAAACCTAAAGAAATTATTCCTATAAACTAAAGCTTAAAAAAGGAATATTCTGTCTGACATTTTTAATACCATTTTGTAATTCCAAAGAAGAAGTACTACTAACTTCATAGCAGAGCTTTAAAAAGTCTACAGACACATTACTATTTTCTTTTGATTTTGTAAGATTCTGATACTCAGAGGTTTGTAACTGTTGAATGATAATCCATCTTTTAAAATGGATTTTTTGTGGTCCAAGGGGAAGGAAAACGTGAAAGGTTATGCAGGCAGGCTGAGGGAGTGAGAAAGGGCTTCAGCCTTGGACTTTTTATTCTTCTTGTGCATTTGTACAATACCGATACAGCAGAAATATACTTTCCATGCAAGTTTTAGATTCTTTTTTAAGTGTCTAATAGAGTTTTGCTATGTATAAGCAGTATTTTTTTAAAAATTGAAAGTTTAGCAGGTATATTACTGTGTATGCAGCCCTCTCCATGTCCATGACAAGGCTATAAATGACACTTTAATTATGACTTTAGCATGCTGCTGCCACACCACTACAGCTACCTCTTGTTTGTATAGAAAATTGCATCATGTCCTGCTGCAAAATCACTCCTATATTTTCAGTGATGGGCTTGATTTTTCCCACCCAGCCATATTTCAATCTGACTCATCCAGCCTCGCACAATATTTGACACTGGGCTTTTCCCAGAAGTCGCAGCACTGAGCCCAGTGGCAAGGGCCTTCCCAGCAGCAGGATTTCAACTTCTGGTCTACCCATAGGAGAGCAAACTCCCAGCACAGGAGCTGAATTTCTCTTCCCACCTCATACACCCACAATGGTCTTTATCACTGCAGTTGGTAGAGGGCAATGAGCCTTTGCTTCATCTGAACTACGGTTGGTACCTGTTTTCCATAGGATTGAATGAGATTTGGGGAGTGGCTGCTGCCATGGGAGGATCCCAAGGGCCTCGTGATGGCACAATCTCCATGATGGGGCCTACACCAGGTGAGCCGGGAGCCAGCCGTGATGCTTCCCACCATCTTTCCTGCTTCTTTGCCAAAAGCTGCAGGTTCTATAAATTGCTTTTCCTACTGCACTGAAAGGGTTTGTAGTTGTGAGTGAAGAGCAGACTGCTCACAGGCCAGCCTGGGCAAGCCAGCATTAATCGTCTTTTGGTCGGCAGGTGCTACCAGCCCAATTAGCAAACAAAAGGAGTTTCTTCCATGCTGACCCGATGCCCCATGGCTGTTCATTTGAGCCCTGAGAGCTTTCTCCCCTACACAGCAAGCAGGGAAGCTCCAGAAGGGCCTGGCTTCAGTTTTCACACCTTGCACCAAGATCTCCTGGGGACCTCTGGGTGGGAGTGACCACCTCATGGGTGCAGCACCCACCGCCTCTCTGGGTCTTTCTTATACCTCATGTCTTTTCAGGATAGAGACCCAGAAAGCTGAGTCTGAAAGAGACAAACCACAACATTTGCTCATCATGTGCTCTTCTGGCTTTCTGCATTTGGTGCTGAGTTATTGTCCTTTCACCTGAAACACTGATGTAAGGGAGGGCCAGGCACTGCTCAGCAGCATGTGCTGCTCCCAGACTTGACCAAGACTTATGGCTCCAGCAGATGTTCCTGCTCTTCAAGGTAGCAGGAACTTTCTTGGTCATTTTCCTGCCCTTCTGTTGCCCTCATGGAAATCCCAGTTGAGTTGATGTCTGGAAACAGGCCATAATGTTATGACCAAGACCCCAGCATACAGTCACCCAGTCTTTGGTTGGTGACTGGTTCCCAAAAACCAGAGTGTTAGGAGGACCAAAGCCTCACTAGGTGTTTTTTAGTATGTTCACAAACTAGTTTGACTAGTTTTTTAGTGGTATGTCAGTACTAAAAAACCTGTTTTGGGGCAGTTTTACTGTAACTGTCCTTAACTGATGGACTTTCTAACCACATGCATTGGCTCACTCCTGCAAGCAGGAGGGCAGGCTGTGGCATTAATACTTAAATTTTCTGCGTATCAGATTTGTGTTTATTTTTCAGTGCATCTTTTCTTGCTCTTGCTTTGTTGGTCTCTGGGTGACCACATCCACTATATTTAGCAAGAACTTTATGTGGGGGAAAAAATAATAATAATAATTAAAAAAAAGCAGTAACTTACTGAATTATAGCAAACTCGTTTCCTACAAAAGCTGTACCTTGACAAAGAAGATAACGTGACAAAAACTTCAGCCATGAAATTCAGTGAGGGAACAGAAACATTGCTGTCAAAAAGCGGAAAATGTGCTTATGTAACATTTATCTGCAAACGGTTACAGCTGCTGTTGATGTTAACTGCTCTGAGCAGTTCACGGAAATGCTAAATAAAGAGCTATTCTCACTAGCAGCTGTCCAAAAAAAGGAGAATTTCCTGGTGCAGTGGGATGAGTGCTGGTATAAGCGGTATTAAGGGGTTACTCTGGATTTACACCATCATCACCAAGAATACAGTTATAGCTCAGTCTAGTTAATTGTCCTACCAAGGATGCAGAGCTGGCCTGGTTAAGTAATTAGACCTGTAAGGGAAAAGGGGGTTGTGTGTGGAAGGAGCTAATGCATACAGTTATAATGAGCTACTGTTGCAGCAGAGCTATCTTTTGTGGAGGACAGCTCTGACTGTGAACAATGGTTATTCTCAAGTGAAACAGGAACTTGTGCCTTGCAATATTTCAAAACTATTTGGAACATTTATTTTAAAGGGTGTGTTTTCTTTAAACAATAACAAATACAGTAAAACACTTTTAGAGGTTGTTTTTCAGACAGTGATCCTAAAGTGTTTCACAGTTCTAAATCACTAGAGCCTACGCTAAGGAGGAAGATTAATTTTGTCACCTCCATTTCATGTATGACATAACAAAGGACCTGGAGCACATTTTGGTTTGAAATCATGACACTGCTCCCTGTAGGACAAATGCCTCCACAGGGCATGCACTCAGGCAGCAGCACGAACAAGTGCTCTTGGATAAGCAGTCCAAATTTAACCAAAATAAGATGGAGCAGAATAGACCCCATGTCTTTTGATCAAATATTTAGGTGAAAGGATCATACTGTCCAGCTTTTCCTGCTTTGACTTTCTGAAAGGAGCTGCCACTGGTTTCTGGCAACCAGTGCCAGTATAACAATTAGTTAATAAGTACAGGATTTGCCTGTCAATGCCTAAGATGGCAGGTTTCCTGCTGCAAAGCTCCCAGACAGTTGTCCTTTGCTAGTTTGTGTTAGATACAAACCCAGTGTGCACAGAGGTAAAGACAGCCCATACCACATGCAAAGCAAAAAGCAAATCCCTCAGCTCTCCAGGGAGCGCTTGGCAGCTGAGTCCTCACAGTGCCTGTTCAAGCCAAACTTACTGAATCTGATTATTGGTGCAAAGAGCTTTCGATTTAGTAGATTACAGGAAGTTTTGTAAGCTGTTAATTACAGATTGCACTGATTAAATGGCTCTTAAATGACTTGTAAGATTAATAGTGTTTTGCTTATTTTTGCTTCTGCAGCCCGCCAATTTTTTACAAGGAAGAGGTTATGTCTGTGAACCCTACGTGTCTGGTTGTGATTATCCTCCTTTTCATAAGTATCATTTTGGCTTTTAAGGTAAGTGTATTACTGTGTATAAAGTCTACTTCTGGTCATGGGCAGAATGTCCCTTACTGGGAGGCCTTGGTTTAGAAGAGATCTAGGGAACTACAGACCCAGCAGCCTGACAGGTATACAAAGCAAAATGGTAGACATTATGGAAAAAAAGGCAGGAAATCTCACAAACACATGAACATAAAGGCCACAGTGGGGAAGCATGATGCTTGTAGGGGGAGCTCATGACACACAAATCACACAGAATCTTTTTTGGAGTAGAGCAAAATGTGTTATACCATTTACTGTGTTTGTCTAGAAGCTGAACCAGAGTTACATACCATGAAACATAGGTGCTTCCTATCTGGCTGAGGAAGGGCATCCAGCAGCATAAATGTATTTATATACATGTGCACAGCACGCACAGTGGCTTTTGAATCGCGCCCTCTTCTGCAGCTGGTTTGGGGAACAGGACCTGGGTTTCCTCTGGCCAGCCCCAGCTGCTGAGACAGAATGGTTGATGCTTCGGCCTCCCCCTCACCACTGTGAGCAAAGCCCTCCAGGCTCAGATGAGCACAAATACAACCAGAATAAACCCTTTCCCCCAGGCTGCCCTGAGCACCCTGCAGCCGCAGAGTACAGCCTCTTCTTCTTTTTTGGCATTTCTTTTTCTGAAAAGGAGGTAGGAAGAGGTAGTTGCCAGTGGGGAAGCCAAAAGGTACTCCAGTCAGTGAGTCAGGCTGGTCTTCAGCAAGCTGAATGTTAACCCTAGTCTGCATAACCTCCCATAACCGGCGTGTACAAAGTGTTGAGCCTGGGAATGAGACAAGTCTGCACATCCTGGTGTCCTCAGCAGATGGGAAAGGGTGATGCAGAGTGTACAGCCTTTTTACACTCAGAATATGTACATTCTAATGTGCTGAGAAGATGGATTTAATTGCAGATTTAATCAGCACAGCAACCCATCCTGCGGCTCCAGTGTGCGAAATACACATGGCCAACTGGTCTGCCATTAGCATCCCTCTGAAATCTTCGTATAAATTTCAGTTTGTGTAGAAATCTTTATCTCATTTTCACCAGTTACTGAAGACCAGCCCAGCTCTGCCAATAGAAAATCCAAAGCAGCTGGAGATTAGAACAGGACTCGGTGCAGACGGTTCCTAACCCGAGGGGGCTCTGTCGGGTTTGCGGCGTTCACCCCGCACTTGCTGCCAGTGAGGGAGCTGCCCAGAGGGCTGCTGTGACCCAGATTGGCACAGACCTTCCCTTGATATATTACAAGAAATGTCAGGATACAGCAGCCTCTTTTCCACAGAGATGGTGGTCAGTCAGATGGTTGGGCACGTGTCTGATGAGCAGAAGTCGTGCACTACATTGCTGCTGTGACGCAGCTTAACAAGTGCGTATGCAATAACAACGGCTAGAGGCTGAGTTCAAGTTTTGTGGGTTTCAGTTCCTTAGGGGCTCAAGTAATTTCACACCATTCAGAAGGGAAAACTGAAAGCTGGTAGAAGTAGGCACGGTGCCTGTTTCCACAGTCAGCCCTTCTTGGGCACCCATCACTTCACGTGGTGGCTATTGAGGCTGCCCCCCAAAAGGGGTCTGTCAGCAGCCTGTGTTGTGGTACGCATGAATACCACTAAGGCTGGATTAAGCTGAAGTAACTTAATGCCTTTCACATAGGGCCTTTTCCAAATGTGAACATTGGTCCCCTGAGAGAAAAGTCGTTATATTTGTATACTGTGTGTCCAGCCACACATTTTAAAGCAGTATTTGAAACCTCAGACAAGTTTTTCAGGAAAAAAAATCAGTAACTGAATCCGCAATCCCATTTAACAGTGCAGGAGCATCAGCAGAAAACAATTATTAGGAACAAGTTTAAAGAAGAAGTTATAAATTGAGGAAAACAAGTTTCCATGACTCACAATTAGCAGGCCAGGAGCACATGTCCAAAGCACTTGGACAATAACATCCTCCAAGCTGCTGCCACTCTCAGCCATATGTGGGTCAGGGCCAACTACTTGGTGTGTGTTGGCTGATGACCTCTTTAATTCAAGGGCTGGAGCAAACCTCACCCACTGAGAAACAGCCCATGCATGCAGGAGCAGGGATGATTAGAGCTAGGGCTCCGAGCTGGAAGAGCTGTAGGGGTTCATTGTGGGTTAAAAGTGTTTTATTCACCACATGTAATGGAATGGGAGCATTCAGAAATAGATCTCCCACTAATTTCTCCCAGATAAGACTGTATTATCTGAATCAGGGCTTCCCTCAGTTTGATTTTTGACAGAAGGAGTATAGAAATTGGTTTGCAAACAGTTAAGCTTAACGTAAAGTGTTTCTTATGAAGACAGGCTCTGTTCCACAGAAGTGCCCTGTATTCAGTCTCTGTTCTTTACTGGATCTTATGCCTTTCTCAGCACATCGTATCTGAGCATTGAAAGCTCCTGAACTACTTATTACTATTTATAATTAACAATGACATTTTATTTAATTCTGGAAAAGATGCAGTTCTCCATGTATGTGCCTTTACTCCACTTGTTTAAGTAGCCTGGGGCAGGTTTGCATAGCCCACAGCTCGGGGACTGGTCTAACCGAGCCAGTCTAACCTTCCCTTGGGACGCAGCTCACTCCAGGAGCCTTTTGCTCTCTGTATTTGATGGTCACCCAAAAGATCCAGGGCCTGTAAGATGCCGTTAAAAGGAAGCAAACTTACTGGATTTCAGCCAGATCAGCTCCAGTGGAAAAAACTCTTCCTGATCTGCAAGCGAGCCATGAGTGAGTCATGTGGTATCCTGAAAAACACAGCTTGTGTGTGACTGCGCTGGAGAGGGAGAAAGCAGAGGGCAGCTCAAAAGGATAAGAGGCTTTTGGAAGGTCATCAGTGCAAGTGAGTCACAAAAATATGACTCACTCAGAGTGAGACACACCTGCAAATCCAGTCAGCTCTGGCAGTTTAATTTGCACGCACTAGGTTTGTGGAAGAACTGCTGTGCAAAACCTACTAAGTAAAAATATAAGTTGGGCATTATCAAAACACATTTTGTGTGTTCTCTTCATCACTGTCATGTGTGACTATGTGGGAAGCAGAAAGCTCCAGAGGGAACTGCTTAGTCCCACCAGCCTTGTCCCTGGCATGCTGGGGATCTAACTTCTGCACCTCCACTTGTGTTACTGTCTCCTGTCTTCCTTCCAGTCACTTTGCTTATCTCTGCTGGCCAAACTGGAATCTCTCCTGATGGTGAAGCAGATGATTGATGTGAGCACTTTGCCCAACCAGTTCAAAAATAAGTGGAGACAACTAGTTGGTTGTCAGGCAGCAGCCCTACCCAGAGCCAAGTGAGCGCCAAGAACAGAACTAGTGAAGTTTATGATCTTGTGGTAGGATTATTGCTGCAATAACTTTTTTTTTTGCTTTATCCTAAAAAAAAATAAAAAAAAATATTTTTAATAACAGCTAAAATATCAGAAATAATTTCAGATTTCAATAAAAACTTTTACACTGGCAATTTTGTCCAGTCAGGCAAAAATAGGAAGACCCCAGACCATTCCAGTCATGTGGACTACATTGATTTTATTTCAGATTAAGTGAAACAGCAGATTGAAACAATGCAGGTGATATATAGGATCATCACAGTCATTGGCCAGGCTCCTACTCACAAGACAGGGAGAGTTTCCTGTGATTTGCTTGATGATTCTTCCGTCCCCAGTGTGCTTGTGCTCTTCTTACTGGGGTTTGCTTACACCTTCTAATACTAATAACCCCTAGCTGACAATATTTAAATGTCTTTACCATGGAAGAATCCAAAACTGTTTTCTGTTTGCTTTTTGCTGCTGTCCCTGAGGCATTCTGCCCTCTCTTTTTTGTAACAGTCTAACTTGTCCCTTCATTTCGTGCTGTAAAACTCACCACTGCGACCTGCTCATCTAAGTAAAATGCAAGTTATATAAACAATGTGATTTTACTTCAGCTATATTCAGGCCCAAAGAAACTTTCTTTTAAAAAAAATAGTCTGCATTAAGTATGCTGTAAAATTAAATGTCTGTCTGTTCATTCAGATAGGTCTAGATTGCAGTATCTCTGCCTAGATGGAGTGGCTCGTAGTTCAACAAAAGTATCTATAATTACAGAACCTTATAACCACAGAATGGTTTGAGTTGGAAGGGACCTTTAAAGATTATCAAGCCCATCCTTCCTGCTGTGAGCAGGGACATCTCTCACTAGACCAGGTTGCTCAAAGCCCCATCCAACCTGACCTTGGACACTTCCAAGGATGGGGCATCCACATTTTCTCTGGGCAGCCTATTCCAGTGTCTCACCATCCTCATCATAAAAAGTTTCTTCTTTATGTTGAATCTAAATCTATCCTCTTTCAGTTTAAAACCCTTGCCCCTCGTCCTGTCACCACAGACCTTGGTAAAAAGTCTCTCTCCATCTTTCTTATAAGCCCCCTTTATATATTGGAAGGCTACAGTAAGGTTTCCCTGGAGCCTTCTCTTCTTAAGACTGAACAACCCCAACTCTGTCAGTGTGAGGAATGGTGTTGAACTCGCAGAGCCCCTACATATACTTACAGTCACTGCAACCAGCAAAGTGACTGTCCTGTGCTTCCATTAGGCTCATAGTCTTATTTATATAAGAACAGAAATGCTCTAACAGAAAAATGTATATGGTTTATTTTCTGCACAGAATAAAAAATCCATTTTCTTTGCAGGGTTACTTGATAAGCTGTGTGTGGAACTGTTACCGATACATTAATGGCCGAAACAACTCGGATGTGTTGGTGTACATTACAACCAATGACACTGCGGTAAGGATGTTAGATCACAAAAATTAGTCTAATGTTATGCATTTAATAGCTTTATTTCATATTAATTTTTGACTCCTTAGATAATCTGCTTAATTCCTTTGAGAGTCCTCATCTGTTGGTTATGTTTAGACTTGAGATTCAACAGACTGGTGTGCTATGATTACAAATCACATCTATTGCCAAAATACTGTTTTTATTTTATGCATATAGTCTGTTAAAGAATGTTGTTAAGCATAAACTAGAGCTTACCTCATGGTCCCAGAAACGACCCCCAGTTCTGAGCTCTCCAGCTGTGTGATGATCTGGACAGCAGGGGCACTGATTAGGACAGAGGGATGCCGTGGTCTAGATCTGCTTTGAAATATGGATTTATCTATAGAAACTGTGATTTGGGGCACTCGACATCTGGTGTAGTGCTTTACACACTCACAGAGAGGAGCTAAAAGGCAACAAAAGTTCAGTGATTCATCTCCCAGCACATGAAAGAATTAATAAACAGATTTTAACCTCAAAGAATGGAAGGTGTCAGTTCACTTTGTAGTAGTTTAGTGCTGACATGCATATGTGCAGGGCACAACTGCTAAGCAATGTCTTGCTTGTTGCAGAAGGCACTGAAGGAATACAAGAAGAAAAAGCCCCTGGAAAGAGCTAGTTCTGTTTGCAGCAGTATCTCCGTGGAGCTGCTTGGTTCCACCCAGACTACACACTGAGGGCAGTGTGCCAAATCTGTCCCTGGGGTGGCTCCACTGTCTTATGTAAGGAGGGTCTTTACATCATTTACATAATAGAATGAGAACAGCGTGAACTTGGTCCTTTGGATCATCTGGGTAAAATTTCAGGATTGCCTTCCTCAGGTTTTCGTAATCGTGGGTGGTCTCCACATGCTGAGGTATTAGACCATCAAATTTAAACCATTGGAATGAGTGATTCCTGTGCAGCCACAAGGGCTTAGAAAACTATTACTACTTTTACATGAAAATTTTAACTCTTGCATAGTTATTTGTCTTCAATACCTGGAACTTTAAGAAAAGCATAAGTTTTATGGACTATAATTAGAGCTGGCAACCAGGACATTTAAGTATAAAAATATGGGTTTATTGAAAGCTAAGAATTATTACTGCTTTCTTTACTGGAACCTGCTTTGAGTAACACCAGGAGTTTTATGTGAAATAATTTTGATAGCTCTTTTGTTCTGCCTGTGGGTAGTTGTAACTCATCTTCAAACATTGCTAACTCTCCAACCACAAAACTGGCAGGCTCGGTGGTGGGAGAGTGTCAGCTGGATTATCTGGGAAACTAAACTTACCAAGATTTTTTAAAAGCTGCATTAAAACCACCTGCTCCACTGCTGCCTTTACAAAGCAAAAGACTGTTTTTCAGAGATGCCTGCTTACCCAAACTCCTCTTGGTACTTTTGTATTTAGTAATAACCAAAGTGCTCTGAGCTACTACCTCATCTTTAAAGCACTTGTAAGTGTTTCTGTGAGGAAAGGAAGCACTTTTGTCCCATTTACAGAGGACATACTCTTGCACTGAGAGTTTAATTTACCTTTGCTTATCTTGATCTTACAAGACAGCAACAGCAGAGGCAGGTTTTGAGAAAGGCTGTGCATTCCTAGCTAGTGCCCTGACTATTGGATTCTTCTTCTTTCATCAATATTTACACCTCCTTAATTTGAATATGATCAGAATCTCTTGCTTCCAGATAGGATGCATTTGTTGTTAATTTTCTCTTAAGTCAGTTCAATGAGATGGCATTAGATCAGGTCCTGTAGAGAGAGCTGTTTGGGAATTTATCAGGTGACCAAAAAATTCACCCAAAGATTCTTTTTCAGGAGTACAGAAAGGCTCAGGAGCAATGCAACTGTGGAAGAGTTTGTCAGGCCCATCCAGAGAGGCAGGAGAGAGAGTCACTAACAACCTGGGTTTTGAATTATTCATTTGGGGTGGAGGCAGGCTTCATTCACACCCATGTCTGCCTGCTTCTTTCCAGTCAGGATAGGCTCCTTCGTCCCTAGGTGACACAATCAGTCTCCATCTCTTGCACATCCTTCCCTGACAAACTCCATGGACACCCAGTAGTGCAGTGCACTCAGCGATGTGATGGAGGAGCTGACGTGCTCCTGAGCAGCCTCTTTCTTTCTTCCGCTCATTGCTGAGTTTCAGCAAGGAACAACAGTTTGTAGGGTTAAATCCTATTTGTTCTCCACTGTGAATCAGAAGATTGTTCCTCTCTCCCTTCACCCCACCAAATGACAGACTCAAGATCTTTGAGAGTTTAGGACTCTTGAAGAAACCTCATGGAATTTTGAAATGCTGTGATAGGTCCCTGCTGTCTGTTGAATTGTATAATATTCCCCCAACACTCAAGTGTACTTTTGTATTAAAACAATATTTTTTCATTCTTATTGATGCTGGGAAACTTCTTTCGGCAGGGCTCCTTCATGTCAACATGCCTTTAAATTATAAACTGCCAGTTTCTTAAAAATGTGGGTCAGTCTCTGCCCTCTGCTTTGAAAGAAATGTGTCATTTTTAGAATCAAACCTGCTGCTGCAGGTCATATCTGCAGGCCATATTCTCACCTTCAGGGATGTTTTTTTGATATATTCTTTCATCAGCAATAGCTGAAAGAATACCAATCTGTACAAATGGAAGCAAAAATCTAAGCTTGAATATGGGACTGAGTATAATAGCTACAATTTAGACAATTTTTAAATATACCCCAGTGCCTCCAAAATCTAGAGATCAGATCACAGCTGCTATTTGCTAATATCCCTTGTACGGCGTAGGAATTCATATGTCTCATTGGCATTCTACACACAAGATTTTTTTTTTTATGTTATTAGGTTTGCAAGTGCTAAACACTGTATTACAAAAACCATTTAGAATAGAGTTTAGATGTGGGCTAGAATATGGGTTAGTTTACTGACAAATTTAAAAGATCTGGTTTATGTATTGGAATGATTAGAAATTCAAAATCTTTCTGCAGTTACATAAATACTTTAAATGGAGCTAAGAAATTTCTTACTACAAACATTTTATTACTGTGTCTTACAATTTTTTGGGAGAGCTGTCTTTGAGAAATGCCTTAAAAATGAAATGTGTACCTTATTTCTATTATAATTTGCACTCAGGGGAAAAAAGAAATCACTGCCTTCAATAACAAATTATCAACAAATTCTATATACCTGCAGGATCTTCCATTGCCAGATAAATACAAATTTAGTTATACTTTCATAAAGATCTTTATTTTCCCACTTCTAACTTTTGAACTAGGAGTTGCCTGTTTTACATGCTCAGAACCCTTGAAAAATACATCTAAGAGTTTCAGTTTAAATGGAAATATGACATTAATGACTGAGCTTTTCTCAAGAAGAACAATTAAACCCTTACTAGCTGGGATGCTGTGGCACAAGAGGCAGGAAGGGTCCACAGTTAGTTACTTGCTGGCTTGCAGCAGCTGTGAACCCTTCTGAGATGTCTGGATTACAGATCTTTCTTAGAAAAGAAGGAAACTTCTTTAAAGTAGAGAATTAGGACTTGGTTCAAAAGAGTAAGAAGCTATGATCATGTATAATTCATTCTCCAGTCCAGAAAGTTGTTCTGAAAATAATAACCAGATTACCTTTTGTTTTACTGCATTTCTTAATTTACCACTGGCAAGGTGTGTAAGCACACTTACACACCACATCCAGATTCGATTAGGAGAATGGATAACTCCTTAAGCACAGCCGTGCAGGCTTGCTTCTTGATCCTTGTTCCTCTGTGTTCAGGAAGTCCTTGGTAGGTCTCACAATTAGTTTCCCCTGTTTCTGCCTAAAGCAAGTCCACCATGACTCTGTAAATTCATGTTGAGAGTGTACAGGTCTAAACAGCAGTATTCATCTGTCTTCTTCTTGGCTGGTCATGTGGTGGAAATCTACTGATATGTCCTCCCAAGAGATGAGTTTTTATGTTTTCTGACCTCATACAGGACTGCTCTGCCAATGCCGGTCACTGGCACTCTCCTGCATCTGTCATACCTTCTCTCATGCTCCTCATGAGATCCTCTCTACAGACCCCTCTCTGTTACCAGCCTACAATTCAGTAATACATTATTTAAAAAAAATATTTGTCTGTCTCTCTGCCTTCCTACTGTCTTAATTTTCATACCAGTAAAAGCCATGTGAACAACTTAAGTGGGGACTGATCTGAGGGGGGAATTTCCTGCACAGAAATGTCCAGTTAGTTCCCCCTGATTAAACTGGTTATTATAACTAATGCTCCTGGATCTGAACTCAAACTAACCTGATAGCTACAGTTATTGGCTACTAGATAATCTGATTTTTGTCACTCAGTGTAAGTGGTTTAAGCCATCCTTTTTGCAAGCGTGCCATCTGGATCAAACGGGCAT